TTATGTCAAAACATAATCATAAAATATATACATCATATACATAATAGTATGATTACATCAATAAAACATTCCATTTAAAAAGGGCAATGTAGGTAGGCAGGTATAATTTAAGAGCATAATAAGAGCTGTCTGCTTCATTAGTGTATATTAATACTATCTCCTGGGTCTCTGTATCTGAGATAGCAATTTCCTGGTCTAAAGCTTTAAATACGTATCTACTGTTACCTAGCTATTATACTAATATGCAAAACGTATGAAATATGAGGTAAAATGTCTATTAGAGTCAGTTATCAAAAAAGATAACAACAGACCAAAAAACAGAAACCACCACACACCCTTCTCTAAAATCTTACATTAAAGCTGAGGGTTCAGGTTAGTTCTTTCTCTTCTGGAAGACTACTCATGAAGGTGGCAGAAGAAACAATTATCCACAGTCAGCTGTCAGCACTCATCCCTAACGAAAACTACTAAGCCAAAATGAACAGGAAAATATTTTAATGGTATCTTTGTAGCACAAAATAATTAAACTGAGACAGGCAGAGGAAAGTGAGCTGCGAACGAACCTGTGTCCTACCAGCGCCGGCTCCTCCCCTCCACTCTTCCGCTCCCAGGCACGGTCTGGGTGACCCGTCCCACAAAGACGTCTCTCTGCGGCTCTGGCCGCCCGACTTGCTGCCTACGAGCACTGCGCTGTCTGAAACCGTCCGTCTCTGCAGACCCAGAGACAGCCCCTCCGTTCCGAAGGCTCACTTCGGCTGCTCCTCAGCCCCCTTCAGACTGCGCTGTTGATTCCTTCTTTCCTGCTGACCCTGGATCCGGAAGAGCTTCTTCCTGAGGTCCTTCTGTCGCTTCAGCTTCTCCTCCTCCTCCTTCCGCTTTTCCCGGAAGTGCTCTTTATTGTGCAGGTGCCGCTGCTCCTTGGTCTTCCTCACCTTCTGGCTGTGCACCGCACTCAGAGCGTCCAGCAGGGCCAGGATCTGACAGACAAACACAGCGAGCATCAGAACGGTCCCACAGCCACGGCATGCTGCGTTGTTTCAGCGGCTGAAACCTCGGCGGATGGTATCGAAACTAAAGGCGATCCGTGATCCACACAAACACTAACTCAGTGGAAACTCACCCTCCCCTAGGAAATCACAGCAGGCATGGAGATACATGTGTATCTCCACGTGTGAGCGTATTCTACCTTTACACAAAACCACCTCGGTTAATCACGCTGTGGACACTGTGTGCCACGAACGAGGACGGAGTGGTTCCCTAAGTACGTGCCTGTTTCTCCCTATTAAAACGCACAGGGACTCTGGCCCTTCCTCGAACTTCCAGTTCTATTGCCTTGAATAACTCTAGCCCTTACCCTTTTCCTGATGAAAATTGAGAATGCAGTAGAAATGCCAAGTGTCCTACTAAGAGCACTATTTTCGTAACTAAATGCACCCTGTGGTAAGACACCTGGCGACAGTACCTTCCTTTCGTGAGGCTCACGTATGACGGCTGGTCTCCTCCTGTCCTTCGGCACTTTGCCTGCCTTTGCTTGGGTCTTGGGCTTGTTCTTAAATGGCAAGGCCTTCTGCAAAGCTTTTGGAATGTGCAATGAATTAAAATGTTTCTTTTGTCTCAGAATTGGCTAAAAGGAAAAAGAAAACAAAGACTGTGACATATATAAATTATGATGTATGTGCGTTTAAAACTTTTGCATAAAATCTCATGGATTAACTTTTCCACAAAATCAGTAAAACTAGTCTGCTGTCCCTCAGAAACCAGCACTCAATCATTCATCAAATACAGACCACCTCACGGAACGTTCACAACTCTAGGCAAACAGGGGAACAGATTATATTTATTTATAACTTCCAAAAAATCAACTGTGCCCATTTCTTTGGCATGGAACTACGGGCTTTCAATAGAGCAAACTGAACAGATCCAAAGTTTTTATCTGTTTGTTTTAGAGAGAGGGTCTCACTCTGTCACCCAGCTGGAGTAAAAAGTGGCACAACCAAAGCTCACTACAGCATCGAACTCCTGGGCTCAGCCTCAGCCTCAGCCTCCCGAGTAGCTGGACTACAGGTACACACCACCACATCTAGCTAATTGTTCTATTTTTTGTAGAAAGGGGTTCTCACTCTTGCTCAGGCTGGTCTCAAACTCCTGACCTCAAGTCATCCTCCTGCGTCGGCTTCCAAAGTTTCTTTTAATGGAAAATTCAGGGCACTTATCTTTGGAGCACTGAAGTGGTTGTTTTCCACTCTAACAAGAATAATCTAGGCTTTTCATCTTGACTATCAAACTCTCTTCATTTAAGGACAGAGTTCTTCCTCTAATCAGCAGCCAAAGTGTCCCCATCCCTGGTTCTAATTAAGAAGTTTAACTTTATTCTGTTTCTAATAGAAAGCTGGCTGAAAAAAGTGAGATTCAAACAACAGATGAAGGCAAAACACTTTACATTGAATTTTCAAGGTAATCTAAGTTCCATTTAAATTAAGTAAAATGACCAAAATTCCTAACTGCCTCAGAAACATTGTTAAAGTTGCAAGTTTTGCCCTTGCCTTTACCAAGGTCAGCATCAACTATACAGACAATATTTCTCTTATGTCTTTAAATTTATTATTGAAGACATCATCCACAATAATATTCAAAATTCTCTGTTAAGAAACCCAAATTGCTTTAAAGAATTCAGAGAAATGTCCTTCTCACAAAAGTGTAAGCACCGCACCTGGGTAATGGCACCACATCTTGAAGTATACTTGAATCAAAATTCATGTAAGTTGATCCGAAATTTTATTAACTATTTTATAGAAAGCATAATGCCTGGGGACTTCTGTTTCTAGCAGAAGAGCAGAATGAAACCTCAAACTACCATCTGATGACAAAACAACTGAATAATATCCTAGACCAAAACAAATAAATCTTTTCAAACGCATTGTTAAGCTGTGAAGAAAGTAATGAAGTTCTGAGGCCAAAATCTAAATGAAGTGGGAATCCAGACAGGCACTGAAAACCTGAAATAAGACCACACTGACAGGCCGACCACCGCAAGGCAGCGGAAGGACGAGAACTCCGGAGCTGCGGGTACGGGCTGAGCTGCTGCGGCTCCGGAACTGGCACCGGCCCGAGCTGACGCTGGCTACACACGCACCCTGGAGCCCACACCTCACCCCTGGGGATCTTCCGACAGAAGCGTGTGCACCAAACAACTCACACACGTTCGGGGCAGCGTTACAATGGCCAAGAACTGGAAGTCATTTTTACCCATCAATGGATAAACTACGACACTGTCACATAACGGAACTCAACGATAATAATAAACAAATGTCTGCCATCTACAAGAATATGGCTGATGCCTATAATATCAAATCAAAGAAGCAAGGAAAAATAGTATGTGCTATATTTTAGAAAACTCAAAATCAGGCAAACCTAGTCTACACGTCAGGAGTTGCGACAGGGGCTACCGTTGAGGAGGAGACGAATAGTGACTGGGGGAAGGGGCTTCTGCTGTGCTGGTAATTCTACTGCTTGGTCCAGGGCATGGCAGCTCCGGTGTGCTACAGTTCACTGAGCTGTACACTTATGATTTGGATATTTTTCTGTATGTATGTTAACATTTCAATAAAGTTTACTAAAACATTAAAATTTTAATAAAAACCCACATTGCTTCAATAAAAATTAGCACATTAACATTTTAAAAATACATGTGTATGGTGGGGGGAAAAGTTCAAAAAAGTACACAACAGCAAGTTTAAGCGGGAGTGATGTCAGCAACATGCCAACTAGAATCCCCTTGTGCTTGTCCCCCCACCACAAGGACAGCCAAAGCAACAAATAAACAACTACATTTTGATGAAAATAACCAAAGGAGAGTGCCAGAGCACATCAAAGGGGTGGCAAAAATCCGGCAGAACACAGAAACCAGGACAGTCACATAAAGAAGGGAAGGAAACAACATGCCTCTGCCCCCCCCACCCCAATCTCCTAGTCAGGATCAGCGTGAACCAGGCAGACGGCTCCCTGTAGGGAAAAGGTAAGCGGGAGGACCTCAGCACCCCCTACAAGGCTAGCAAAGAGAGCCACCTGGAGTCCGGTCCAAGACGGCTGAGCTCCCCCAGAGAAGGAGCTGACACTGTGCCCTGCCCCACAACCCACGCTGCAGGGCACTGTGCCATCCTGGAAACGGAAACTCTGCTGGAGCGTGTCCCGCTGCCGGGGTGAGTAGCCACTGCACCCTTCCATCCCTGAGGCTTTCTCACCCCATACCACCCCACCTGGTGGCCCACCACCCTTGAGCTGCTGATACACTGTCTTAGTCCATTTAGTGTCGCTATAAAATACCTGAGACTGGGTACTTTATTTTAAAAAGATGTTTATTTGGCTCTCTATTCTGGTGACTGGAAAGTCCAAGACTGGGAGCCCATCTGTGAGGCTCTCACGCTGCTTCAACTCATTGCCGAAAGTGGAAGGGGAAAGAGATTACACAGCAAAGAGATTGCATAGCGAAGAGAAGAAGCAAGAGAGTCCAGGAAGCTGAACTCACATTTACAGCACTGCACTCTCTGGTAACTAGTCGACGACACAATATATTCCTGAAGGACCGGCCCCATGACCCAGACATGTCCCACTAGGCCCCACCTCCCAAACACCACCACACTGAGAATCAAATTTCAATACAAGTTTTGGCAGGGACAAACCGCATCCAGACCGCAGCATACAGCCTATCCTGAGGGGCCAGGCTGCCATGGCACCCTACCTCCTGGTAAATCTGTGCCTTGGTCATCCAGAGTAGTCACACTCCCTGGCACCAGAGCTGAAGCAGAATTCCACTTCATGAGGAACAGGTGCTCTGGCTGAGCCAATGCGGCACCCTGCATCCCAGGGAAACAAAGCATTGGCTGAGCTGGGGTGCCCTGCCCTCCAGGACAAACAGCCGCAGCACCCTGCTTCCCTGGAACTGAACTAACCCTCAAATCTAAACTGCTGAGGCACCCTGCCCCCTCAAGGAGTAAAACGGTTGCTGTGCTGCGCCCTACCCCCAGAGCCCAAGCCGCAGCCGCACTCTGCCATCCCTGAGTACTTCCTGATGCTGCACCTGGCCTCACAGAGCCTGAGATACTGCCACATCCCTCCAGTGCAGGGTCCAAAGTCACCACTATGTGGTGCCTCGTCCCCTGGGGTGTATGTTGCCACTGTGCCCTACTGGCTCTGGTTTCCAAACTGCAGCTGTGCCCTACAATCCAGGGCCTGAAATTCCAGAGGACACTTTCCCAGAGCCAGGCCAGTACTGTGTCCTGCCCCCAGGATCAAAGTCATAGCTGCAACCCAGGCCTAAGCAGCTGGAGTGCACCTCAGAGCCAAAGGCCCCAGCTTTGCGGGCTACATGCATCTACCCGTGCCTCGGAGTGAACCTGTGCCTCCAATCGCAGGTGCCACAGCAGGTTCACAAGACCCTAAGCCCAGGACCTGGACTCCACAGCTGCTCTGGGCACTTGTACCCTGGAACCCAACACCACTGCAGCTGCTTGTGGGTCATGTCAGATCCAATGCCAAGAAGGATCACCTCAGCTAAGACTCTCATTGTGGGGAAAATGAGAACAGGAAGAGCCTAAAAGCCCTTGTCACTGAGGATTCTAACAGCACACACTGCCACAGACTCCCGCAGCCTAAGTAAACCTCTGAGGCACCAGCAGTCACTGCTGGTGTTGATCACAGCTGAAGAATTTGCACGGAGGCAGATTCTGTACAGATGCACATCCCACTGCATCCACCTGGAACCTGAGCCACGGCACCCTTCCAAACCTGCACCCAAAGACCTCTGTGGATGAAGGTCTCTCCCTAGGAAACACACTCTGTAAAGTTTGGAAGAGGTGACTGTTCCACCAGATTTGCAAACATCAACGCAGGTACATAGGAAACATGACACCACCGAAGGATCACAATAATTCTTTAGTAACTGACTCCAAAGAAACAAAAACTTACAAATTGCCCGAAAAGGAATTAAAAATAAGGATCTTAAGGAAACTCAGCGAGATATATGAGAATACAAAGAGACAATTCAATGAAATCAGAAAAAAAATTAGTGATCTGAAAGAGAAATTCAACAGAAATAGAAATCATAAAAAAGAACCAAATTGAAATCTTGGAGCTATAAGAATTCAATGAATGAAACAAAAAATACAACAGAGTTTCAACATCAGACTAGATCATGCACAAGAAAGAATCTCTGAACTTGAAGACAGGTCTTTTGAAATAACCCAATTAGAGGAGGGGAAAAATAAAAAAGCTTGAAAAAAGCCTATTGAACTTATGAAACACCATTAAGCAAACAAATGTTCGCATTATGGAAGTGATGGAGGAAGGCACAGAAAGATTATTTAACAAAATAATTGCTGAAAACTTCACAAATCTTGGGAGAGATGTGAATATCCATATTCATGAAGCTCAAAGATCCCCAAACAGGTTGAACCCAAAGAGATTCTCATCGAGGCACATTACAGTCAAAATGTCAAAAGTCAAAGAGAAAGAGAGAATTTTAAAAGTAGCAAGAGAAAAGTATCAAGTCACACACAGGTCACTATTGGACTATCAGTGGATGTCTAAACAGAAACCTTGCAAGCCAGGAGAGAATGGGATGATATA